ATATAGAGGGTGAAGAGGAGGGGACCGAGGACAGAGCCCTGAGGGACTCCACATGAGACAGTACGGGGGGTGGAGGAGAAGTCATTCGTCGAGACAAAGTGAAGACGGTGAGAAAGGTACGACCTAAACCACTCAAGGACAGTGCCTTGAAGGTTGAGGTGGGAGGACAAGCGGTGGAGTAGGATAGCGTGGTCGACCGTATCGAATGCTGCCGATAGGTCGAGGAGGACGAGGAGGCAGAGGGAGCCCTGGTCACAGATGGTCAGGATATCATTGGTGACCTTGACCAGGGCAGTTTCTGTGCTATGGGCAGCACGGAAACCTGACTGAAGGGGTTCGAAAAGAGAATGGGTGGAAAGGAAAGAGCGCAGTTGGGAGGCGACAACTCTTTCCAGGACCTTGGAGAGAAAGGGGAGGTTGGAGATGGGCCGGTAGCTTGATAGCTGCGACGCATCAAGGGAGGGTTTTTTCAGGGTGGGCGTGATGGTGGCAGTTTTTAAGGGAATGGGGACAGAGCCAGAGGAGAGGGACAGGTTGATGATGTCGGTGATATGTGGGGCAAGAAAATGGAGCTGGGAGATAAGGAGTGGAGTGGGGATGGGGTCAAGGGAGCAGGTGGTTGGTTTTAGGGATAGGATGAGTTTCGTGACCGAGGGTGGGGAAACGGGTACAAAAGTGAGTAGGGGAGGATGGGTAGCAGTCGGAGTGTGGGAGTGAGGGGGTGGGGGGTTGGTGGATGTTGGAGGGGAAGTGACCGCGGAGCGAATTCCCTTGATCTTGGACTCAAGGAAATCCAGCATCTCCTCGCAGTGAAGGTTGGAGGAGATGACCTGCGCGGGGTGGCGGGGGGGACGGAGGAGTCGGGTTATGGTGGAAAACAGTAGCCTGGGGTTGTTCTTCGCCTCCAGGATTATCCTGGAGTAGAAGGACGACTTGGCCGAGGCTAGAGTGGAGCTGTAAATTTTGAGGAGGTCCAGCCAGATTTGTCGGTGGACCGTTAGGCCAGATTTGGCACAGGTGCGTTCAGCGGCCCGCACCTGGCTTTTCAGTGAGCGGAGGTGGGTGGTGTACCAGGGGGAGGAGCGGGAGTAGGAGACCGTGCGGGAAGTGATGGGGGCAAGAGTATCGAGTGTGGAGGAGAGGGTATTGTGGAGGAGGGAGAGAGGAGAAGAGGGGTCAGTGAGGGTTGAAGGCCAGAGGGAGAGGAGTTCAGAGGACTCCAAGGCAGCGGTTAGGGATTGTGGGGGTAACTTCTTCCAAGGGCGGTAGAAGATGGTGGTGGGTCTGGTGGAGGTGGGGAGGGGGGTGGAGGTGGTGAAGGAGATGAAGTAGTGGTCAGAGATGGCCACAATAAGTATAAACAGAGAGGAAGTACTGAAAAGGTTGACTGGACTGAAGGTGATAAGTCGCCCGGTCCGGAGGGGATGCAGCCGAGGTTACTATGGGAGGGACGGGTACAAATAGCGGAGGCTTTGGCTACAATTTTTCAATCTTCGTTGGACACAGGAGTGGTGCCCGAGGACTGGAGAGTGGCCAATGTGACTCTCCTGTACAAAAAGGGACAGAAGGACAAACCTGGGAACTCCAGGCCAGTCAGCCAAACATCAGGAGTGGGGAAACTCCTGGAGACTATAATCCGGGACAGAATAAATCTTCACTTAGAAGAATATGGGTTAATTAGGGACAGCCAACACCGATTTGTTAAAGGCAAATCTTGTCTAACAAATCTAAGACTTTTTTGATGAGGTAACAGAGAGGGGATAAAGGCAGTGCAGTTGATGTCGTTTATATGGACTTTCAAAAGGCATTTGACAAAGTGCCACATGAAAGACTTGTAAGAAAGATAGAAGCCCATGGTATAAAAGGGACAGTGGCAGCGGATCCAGAACTCACTGGGAGACAGAAAGCAGAGGGTTGTGGTGAACGGCTGCTTTTCTGACTGGAGGGAAGTGTACAGTGGTGTCCCCCAGGGATCGGTATTAGGACCACTGCTCTTCTTAATATACATAAATGATCTGGACTTGGGTATAGCAAGTACCATTTCCAAGTTTGCGGACGACACAAAGTTAGGGAAGGGGGTAAACAGTGAGAAAGATAGGAGCCAACTGCAGGAAGACATAGACAGAATGGTAAAATGGGCGACACGTGGCAGATGAGTTTCAATGTGGAGAAATGCGAAGTAATGCATTTTGGTAGAAAGAATGAGAGGAGGCAATATAGGCGGTAATACAATCTTAAGGGTGTTAAAGGACCGAGAGACCTGGGGGTGCAGGTAAATGAATCCTTGAAGATGGCAGGACAGGTAAAAAGGGCATATGGGATACTGGGCTTTATAAATAGGGGCATAGAGTACAAGAGTCAGGAGGTTATGATTAACCCATATAAAACCCTGGGAAGGCCTCAGTTAGAATACTGCTCCCAGTTGTGGGCACCACACTATAGGAAGGATGTTAAGGCATTGGAAAGGGTACAGAGGAGATTTACGAGGATGGTACCAGGAATGAGGGACCTTAATTATGAGGAAAGGCTGGAGAGGCCGGGATTATTCTCATGGAACAGAGAAGGCTACGAGGAGAACCTAATAGAGGTCTTCAAAATCATGAGGTGTGTCGGTGACTCGAGGTCACAGATTCAAAATAGTCTCTAAAAGAAGCTGAAGGGAGGTGAGAAGACATTTCTTCACGCAGCGAGTTGTTCGAATCTGGAACGCATTGCCTGAAAGAAAGGGCGGTCGAGGCCGATTCATTAACTACTTTTAAAAACGCGGTGGACGGATATTTGAGGAGGACGGGTTTGCAGAGTTATGGGGAAAGGACTGGGGAGTGGGATTGACATTAATTGCTCTATTCAAAGAGCCGCACAGACTTGATGGGCCGAATGGCCTCTTTTTGTGCTGTATGATTCTATGTGTCAGACACCCGGCTGAACAGAAAAAATTCGCATTGTATGTGGAATCCAATTACCTTAAAATTACCTATACGCTGAGTAATTTTCACCATTTGAATTAACAATGTGTCTTTCTGATGGATAAACATCTCTTGAATATTAATGAGTGAACGGCTTTCCAATTAATGCTAAATTTCCAGGGAGTTTGATCTGTCTAATGTAACTTAAAAATATGCCAGTTATACCATATTATGTGGGCTTTCATTTTACATGAGCTAAAGGCAGTTTCAGCGCCTTGGGACGTCCTCCCGACGTGAAAGGCGCTCTATAAATGGAATCTTGTTGTTGTTTAAATTCAAATATAGAGTAAGGACTTTACCTTAATTATATAAGTATGTAATCTGTAAATATACATAAAAGCATGTGTTTTCATCTTGAGAATATCCTCTGAATAAATGAAACTATGCAGGTTTAATGGTTGAATAGCTACAAGTAGCAATGGTTAAATAGCCTGCCTTTGAAATGATTCGCTCAATATGGAACTTGCCTTATAACAACATACTAGTTTTAACTAATGCAATCCATTTTATAGAAGCTATTTCATGCAATAAACAAAATCACACCAAAACCTGCAGCAGGGGGCACTCTGGCTTCACATTTAGTTGTGTTTCTCAATACAATTAAGACACCATTCTTGACTTGTATAGTTGTGATGCTTCTGCCTTGAACATTCAGAGCAGAACTCTTTCCCCTGATTTTTAGCAAATGGAGAAACCTCACAGCCTCTGCACTGTGCACTGAGGGGACATTGGTGATCAAATTGTAGCACGGATGTTCTGCATTATCCAGTATTTCATTCAATTCCATAGCATTGTCGCGAGGCTTGCCCTAATTTATATGCACATATTATCAATAATATCTAAGATCAGCCAATCAGTATTGTGCAAATAAAATAGATTTTTAGGCAAGGAGAGTTGCAGTTTAGAAGGTAAACTGAATAGCAGCTAAATTAATTCTAGGTAAGGACACAGAGTAGCTATTATTGAAATATATACATACAGGAACGTGAATAAAGATCCAGACATCCATAAAAACTGATCCTGAGAGAACCTACCCCTTCCCCCCTCCACACACACATTACACAAATCCCCACCTAAGGAAGATAAAAAAAAGTTTTAAAAAAACCAAAATGACATTTATAGAGCGCCTTTCACGTCGGGATGACGTCCCAAAGCACTGAACAGTCAGGTGTCAGGGCCCGAGCATGGGGGATTGGTGGGGGAGGGGTGGGGGAAGGCAGAGAGGTTGGAGGGAGACCAAAGGCACAGTCGAAGCGAAGGGTCTTGAGACCGGCCTTGAAGGAGGCAAGGGAGGAAGCGAGGCAAAGGGACCGTGGGATGGAGTTCCAGACTGTGGGGGCAGAGAGGCTGAAAGCCCGGCCACCGATGGTAGGGTGGGTCAAGCGGGAGACATGGAGCAGACCGGAGGCTGATGAACAGAGGGAGCGGACAGGTTGGTAGAGAGTCAGCAGGTCAGAGAGGGAGAGGCCATGGATGGTCTTGAAAGTGAAGACGAGGATCTTGAACTCGATCCTCTGGGGGATGGGGAGCCAATGGAGTCGAGCGAGGGTGGGAGTGATGGGGTCACGGAGCCTGGTGCGTGAGAGTACACGAGCTGCAGGATTTTGGATGATCTGCAGCTTATGAAGGGAAGAGTTGGGAAGGCAATGTGGAGGGAGTTCCTGTAATCGAGCCGTAGACTTAGCCATAGGCTAACAGGAACTTTGTTGGGATTGTGTACAGTGGATGGTGGTATAACTACAAAGCCATGGTAGCCTCGGGAATTTTTCTGCTGATCACTAATCAGAGAATAAAAAGATCAGAAACGATTATCTCTGTGAGCAGCCAACACACGGGTGTGGCAAGTCTATGATAGGTGCAGGGAAGCAGGTTTCCAGTGTCTTGGTACGTCCTCCTGACGTGAAAGGCACTAAACAATTCTAATTTGTCGTTGTTGCTAAAGCTCTGTGAGTTTTCAATGTTGTAAACTGATGCAGATACAAGTGCTGCAAAAACATAAGAGTCTCTTCAAAATAAGGAGATGACAAATGAGAATACACTTCAGGTCTTTACTCTTTGCAAAAGCATTTGTGACACAACATTAGGCTAGTCAATCATAGCCACCGTTACTACTTGTGATCAGTTGAAAAACAGATATTGTAATGATTTCTTACAATTCTGATATGATGTCTGACAATTTTGCATTTGCAATTAAGCGTTTTTTAAAAAATAATTTACAGTTTTATCAGCAAGATTCACAAAGGTGTCAAATTGTAATTCCCTGGGACCAACATCATTTATTTCCTATGTATGAATATTCTCCTTTATTCTCTTAACAAAACCTAAACTGTTTACAAAGAGCAGTCAAGAATTTCCATGAAAAATATACGCAACATTCATTGAAAATAATCAGACATCAATGTACAATAATTTAACTTCTCTACATAGCAAAACAGTTTTCCTATTCATACAGACTACAAACTGTTTTACGTCAGCAAAAGCAGATTTTGTTTATGTAAACAATTAAATATGGTCATTAAGATCCTGATTAACACCTTTGTATATTGTTTTTAAGCCTCTCCTCCGAACAAACTCTCCTCTGAAAGTGTCCTCAGAAGATAAACACCGTCAATGTACAAACACAAGTACAGACATGCAAGGACTTCACACAAGAGATGGCAAACCACAAGAAAAACTGTCCTGGCTGTTTACACTGATCAGTCTTTTCTTGTACAAATATGTTATTGGCAGAAGAGTCATGTAAGTTAGGACTTGCAGCAACCAGAACCTTTCATTTCTGAATTCACGTAGTCATGAAGCTTGAATTTAGGGTCACTTGGTGATTTCATTGACCTGTGTTTCAGTTCTCTGCAATAAGAAACATTTGACAAATACAGGAAGAGAAATGACAACCACCCTCAGCCTAACATTTTCCTTACACATCTATATATCAGGGACTGAGTACCACAAGGATCCGAAAATCTGTTCAAATCCCAGAGCAAAGGGAGAGGTTGGGATAAATTATTTTTTACGCACACAAGGCAGAATGGGGAACAGTGGTTGAGGCAAAATCCATATTAGCTTTTAAGAGGAATTTGGTATATAATTGAGAAGGAAAAATATTTTTGAAAAGTATGGCAAAAAGACAGGAGAATGGGGCTAAATGGCCAGACAGCTCTTTCGGAGAGAGCTGTCACAAAGGGCCAAATGCCTCCTCTCTGCTGTAAATTTATATGGATCTACTTCCAGTCTCGTTTGCACCTTTTCTTCTGCCTCTTTTGCCGGCAAAGACATGATGGGCTGAATGGCCTCCTTCTGTGCTGTATGATTCTATGATTCTTTCAGCTGTAATGTTTGTGCAAGAAATGCGTTGGGGGGATTTTCAAACAAATTCTCAATGAGAATTCCAAGATGGAGCATAATTTGTCATAAATTGCCACTAAATCAACGATCCTTCATGTTGATAACGGAGTAAAAATAATGGAAATTATTCCATCACCCCAGCAATGACATTTCAAATTGGAAAAGAGCAAGATATCACCAAGAAAGATATCCATCATTCGGCAATAATATTGATATGTGCTCATTGCATTCTAATATTCTGCTTGCAAAAACATCCCACTTTCATCCATAAATCAAGTTTAATTTTGACAGTTCCAAAAGCAGCAGTGCTTGATCACTGTAGTCTCATTAAATGCAGGTACACTTGATCTTTCAAATCACAGTGCTAACTAACCAGGCAACTTGTTAGCTTTCTATTTTGAAGTATGATAAAGCTCTCACGTTCACTTATTTTAACAAAGGAATAAATCTGAAAGACATAAACAAGTAGCTGATTCTCACTGACATTCCCCAATCCAGATAAAATGAAAGGTCTCCACTGTGGAACTTACTTGGCAATAGCTATAAATGCCAACTCCACATTTAGGCCTGTTTTGGCACTTGTTTCCATGAAAGGCACTCCGTATTCCTAGAAGAAATTAAATATCAATCAGCTATTCAGATACAAATATATATATATATATACACACACATATACACATGACTTCCCAATGCATGGACTGCAAATTCAAACATTTAAGATGCTAAAGTGAGATAAATGGAACTGATCCAAATGGTCATGTTTGATGATGTTCTCAGATGCCACCTATTTAACATAGCACATTGTTGGACTTTTAAGATTTCTGAGACAAACTTTAAAAATTAAAGATGCCAGTCGCTTGGGCTTCTTGTTTGATATATAATATATATAAACATCCTAATGACATAATATTGTACTCAGGAGTGGATTATCTATTGCATCCACTGGGAAGCCAATATATGGGCTTCCTTCCTGCTGCAACAAATGAGATGGCAACCATCAATGGAGAGATTGAGCTAATAATGGATTTACTCCCAGGACAAATAGCTATGAGCTATTACATACGAGGTTATCTACATACACTTTGCATAAAAGGAAAATATATTGGTGAGCCTATAAAATGGTGTAATATATCCAAAGTCTCTGCTCTGTATTAAAGCAGCTATGGATGAATTGTAATAATAATATTACAATTATATAATAATAATCCTTGCATTTGATGCAGCGCCTTATCACGTCTCCAAGATATCAAAACGCTTCACAGATTGGTAGAGATTTAAAGTGAAGGTGAAGTAGATAAATCAAGAACAACCAATCCCGATGCCACAAACTTGCACCCTGGCCAATAATGAAACAACTTTGGTTTGAGTGCAGGCCTCAGAGGTGAAAGACTTGTAAAGTAAAATATACTCTTACCCTGTTTGTGACACATAACAATATCAAGAAACCCAACAGGGCAAGGTCACTTCAAAACTCTGTCTCGCAGATAAGGAAGGAATAATCCTTAATCCAAGAAACTGGTAGCTCTTGATTGGAAAATGGAACAAGTATCCTTGAATATTGAAGAGTTTTAATTTTAGAGGATCCATTCATATAATAATAATCCTTGCATTTAATATAGCGCCTTATCACATCTTCAAGACATCTCAAAGCACTTCACAGAATATACTTTAAAGTGAATTGACTATATTTTGTGAGTAAAACGCGGCAGACAATTGCGCACAGCAGGGTCCCACAGGCAGTCGTGGATTGAAGTAACCAATCAATTATTAATTTTTTTGAAGGAAAAGCGATCTGCCAATCGACTAACAATTAGGTTCCTACTTACAGGTGTGGAGTAAGGAAACTTGCTAAACATTTCCTCCTGCCGAAAATCGAATCCAGGTCTCTCACTTGCGAAGCGAGTGCTCTAACCACAGAGCTACAGGACTCCACAATTTACCAGGCATCTTGCATGAATAATACAAAGCATCCAAGCACAAACAAGATATCTGGACTACACTTAGCAAACGACATACCTTTGCTAACTTTTCTCCCGACTCTTTCTTTACTGCCCTCTCCTGAGTTGCATCAGCCTATAAAAGACAGAGAATGACAGTCCATACTTCCTATAACTTCACCCTTATAGTAGTTTAAAATGCATCCTTTCACATCCCATTAGCATTGCCGCTAAACATTAAAAGTGACATTGGTTGGAATCAGTTTAAATATTCCAAAATGGGTTTAAAAGCTTTGCAAAAATCTGTCCAGTGCCTTGGGACGTCCTCCCAATGTGAAAGGCGCTATACAAATGTAATTTTGTTGTTGTTGTTCACTCTGAATGAAGGTTCTTATTTATGCCTGCAGTGATCACTGTCTTGACAGAACACAGCTGTAGAGCTTGGTGTAAATAGCAGGTTTTCTGTTGTGTGACCATCTAAGCATGAATGCGAATTCAGCTTGCTGGAAGGATCCTGGATTTGTAAGGACATTGTTGTAATGATGTCAGTGCCCAGGCTTACCATGTGCCCCTCTCTTTGCTTGGCTGGTGGATTTCAGAAACTCAAGCTGTTGTGATGGTGGAATGTACTGGGTTATATCATAAAATTAAATACACCATAACATCAATATATCTTAATACCAAATAAATATACCTTAACACTAAATGTAGTGTAAGACCAATTTATCATACCAAATATACCATAATACCAATATTGTGGAAGACCAGAATACTAATATATTAGGAATACTACAAATTGGAAGAACATTACAATAGAATACTAATGTATAATTATACTAATATTCTACAATACATGAGTACACGCTCACACAGCATGCCAATATATTACAGGACCAATACAGGAGAATTACTAATTGACTAAAATACCAATAGCTTAGGATGCCAATATGTATACACAGGTATACAAACCCACCATTATACCAATGCACTAGCAGATCATCAAATATACGTTCACTGATTTTATTGATTGTATTGAGAATAAAAATTAGGATATAAGACACCAAAATACTGATTTACAAGAATATATAAGTATCCCCCCAAACTAGAATATGCAAATGTACCCAAACAATCGGGATGTCGATGCAAATAGACAGTGTAATCTAACAACATACGGTAACTCCAGGTGGTGTTTTAAGAGAGGGCAACGTCTTAGCTGATAGCAGTTGTGCAGTATCTGAGACTCACCTTATTTCCCAGCATCATGATCACCACGTCTTGCGTTGCATATTCATGAATCTCTGTCAGCCATGCCTAGAAACAATTTTTAAAAAAATTGATGATCTAAACAGTTTTGTAAACAGTAAAACACAAATACCAACTGATTGTCCATGTAGAACTGAATATTCTGGTTTAGAATTTTCAGATCCATTGATTTCCCCCAAGTTTATCAGACATGAAGTAAAATTGCTGGTGCGAGCGTTGCCAATATCTGCGTTCGATAAAATGTCTACAACCTTGGCAGATTAATGAGGAAAGCTGGTGATTTATCATGAGATGATTGCAATGGAAGGAATACACATCCATTGTGACAAACACAGGAATATGTGCACTGGAAGGTTTCAGATCAGAGATGCTTTTTTTTTAGACTTTACCAAGTCTTATACCCCTGCCTCTGTCTCATGACAAGTCTGAGGACAATAGTGTGGATTTCTATTTTTTTTATAATAATCCTTGCATTTCATACAGTGCCTTAACACATGTGTCTCAAAGTACTTCACAGAATATATTGTAATGTATACTGACTGTGTGTTTTGTGAGCAAAACGCAGCAGCCAATTGCACAGCGGTCTGCACAAACTGTCGTGGATTGTTGTGAATATTTTTAAGTTATAAAGGAAACATTATATCTTAATTATAAATTCACAGACACTGTTTATAAGAAATAATTTCACTACTTAATGGAATGAGATCAGACAATCCTTTGACGCCACAAACTGATTCAAAACTATCTCTATTGTGATAGGGATACTGTTCTTTATGGGTCTTGGCAAATATAATGCATTTCCAAGAAGCTTTGTTGCGTATTATAGAACATGCAATAAATTTTTGAAATGTCAAGTTCTAGGTGTATTCTCACAAGTAATTCAATGTGTTCCCTGTTTGTACTCCTCAACACATTATGGTCAGAATGAAGAAAACCACAGAGGTTCCCCCAGTAATAAAAAGTCTTACTTTAATGTACTGGAGTTGACTTGGTGGCCCATGCCCAATACAAGTTTGACTTGTGACTTCTCCAGGCTAAAGGCAACACAAAAAACAACTAAACATGCTGATTAAGTGTTCTCAGAGAGTTTACAACAGAGAAGGCCGTTTGGTTTATTTTGTCCCTGCTTGTACTAGCTCCCTGCACTGGAAGTTTCTTCTCTAATCCCATTCCCCTGCTCTATACCAGATGCCTTAATACTATATTCCCTTCATAGGGAATTTACATGATTCCTTGCTAAAAGCTGTTCTGGATTTGAGTTATACACAGTTAAAGTAAAGTTAAAATAAATGAAAGAACGGATTTAAATGAAAAAGTGAAATGATTGACAGAGACAATATTGTTGCATTGCAATACTACGAGGAGAGGTTGAATAGACTAGGCTTGTATTCTCTAGAATATAGAAGAATTAGAGGTGATTTTATAGGGTCTTGACAAGGTGGATAGTGTGAGACTGTTTCCCTTGGTTGGAGAATCTAAAACTAGGGTTCATAGTCTCAGGATTGAAGGTCAGCCCTTTAGAACTGAGTTGAGGAAACATTTCTTCACTCAGAGGGTAGTGAATTTATGGAATTCTCTACCCCAGAGGCTGTGGGTGTTCAGTCAGTCATTGAACATATTCAAGACTGAGATCGATAGATTTTTAAAAACTAAAGGAATTAACGGATATGAGGATAGTGCGGGTAAATGGAATTAGGTTACGAGATCAGCCATGATCTTATTAAATGGTAGGGTAGGCTTGAGGGGCTGAATGGCCTACTAAATGCTCCTATTTCTTATGTTTCTTATGGTACTTTTCGACAGGTGATCAAATTGGCTGATGGGAGGGCTGCCAGCTTCCTGTGTGATGTTCACAGTGCAGTTCAGTGGGTCATTGGTGACGAGACTGTTGACCTGCTGACCCGGAAGTGATGATGACCAGCCAAACTGTTGCTCGACCTGTTATAATACGAGAGTTCTTACTTTTATGGACCTCAATCACAGGATTATAACAGGGTCTGACTATTATTGGCGAGAGAAAAAAAGCTAATTTTACTAAAAATGACACACAGTCACACAGCGGACCAAAGGTCATCATCCCACAATTACACAATCAAATTAAATCAAATGTTCCTGTCCCTTTTGCCAGAGTGAATTATTAATTACTCTAATTGAAATATATAATAGGCATGCGTGCTTCTTTTGCCTGAAATATTTTGATGCCTAAATACGTCTTGTTTACTTCACAGTCACAGTACAATTTCTGAAGCAGCTATTATACTTGCCATTTCCGTACTTTGTTTGCTAGAGTTCAATATCCTAGTCCTCGCCTTTCCACGGCCTTGCTCCTTCCTACCTGTGACCTGCTAACACCATATTGATCTGTCCGCTCCCTCTGCTCAGCCTGCCCCATGTTGTTGAAATATACGGACTATGACCTCAGGGTGCCTTGGTATATTTCAAACAGCAACCGAATGTTTGAAGGTTTGAAAGTTAAATGGTTATAAGTAGCTTTGTTGGACTGGATGAGGTTAGCTTCTGATTGCATTTCATATTTTCCTGGGAAGATGTTCACTCCTGAGATAATGAGCGATCGGGTCCTTGAGCCGAGATGTAAGAACAATGGACCGCAGAAAGAAAAGGCTACAGCCTCAGACACCTGCCGATCTCAAGGCTGAGAAACAAGCGGCTGTGGGAGGCTGCCCAGAAGTTGTCCATATTTCTCTCTGTGCAAAGCAGCTGTGAAGGGTGGGGGCTATCTCTGTGACAAGGGGAGGTGGAGTTAGAAACACATAAAAGATGTAACTTTGAAATAGTTGGAGTTGTGTAGAGGGTCAGTGCACTTCCCAGTGGAATCGATATCGATTCTACTGTATCTATGTATATGCACAGGGGGGAGGGAATTTACCTCCAGTAAGAAAGTGACCATTAAAAGTAAAAGAGGAAGAGTGGTCAGGTCCGTAAGGAAGGAGGGCTTTCTCCAATGAAAGTGGTGGTGGACTGTGGGAGTTCCAGTAGCTGTTGCCGCTGCCCAGAGTCAAATCGGGTAAATATGATTTTGGTTCTGTCTGTTGCCTGGTATATCTGTATAAGGGATACAGTGCAGCTGATTTGTCTGTTCAAATGTTAATAAAACCTATATTTGAAAGTAACGTGGTGTCAAGTCAATTTGTCTACAACGTCGCCTGCCCCGCCTGCCCCACCATCAGCGGTCGGGCCTTCAGCCTCTCCGCCCCCACCCTTTGGAACTCCATCCCTCAGTCCCATCGCCTTGCTCCCTCCCTTACCTCCTTCAAATCATGTCTTGATAAAGTGCAATGACTGTGTATCTTTAGGCAAACAACGACCTTCTGTGATCTACGTAGATTGAGAACGAGAGCTCACAGGAGATGCACCACTTCTGTTCACATTTACCAAGTGCCCAGCATCTTAAGTCAGCAGTAGTGTTCTCTAACTAGCCTTCACCTGACTCAAGGTCTGTTTATGATCCTTGCTGTCTTTTCGGGTCAGAGCTATTTCATTCAGTTTGCCCCGCTCATTTAGGCTGTGACCTTAAACCGTCTGCTCTGATTAGTGGTGATAATTCACTCACTCCTCCTTCCTCTGTGAAACATGACAGCACAAGCTATTGGTGATTTTCTGCAACTGTGTTGAAGCAGAAATAATTGCAGGAGAAACAAAATCTGAATATCACTCCCTGCTCCCGAGGCTTCAATTTTTTTTAAAAAGATGATAAAATAACAACTCACAAGAGAAGAAAGTGTTCATTCATACCCACAGCTCAGTACTGATTTCAATAAACGCAGGTATTCTCATTGTACAACCATACTAATGAGCTCAGATGTACATTATATTTGACAAATATACTGAGGCAAAGATTCAGAAACACCTTTTGTAATTTAATTAATTTGTGCTATTGCTGCCACCCAGCTGCGCCACTGCTCCAGCAACCCTGGGGGCCACATTGTTTCAAAATCATTTTCACTGACAAAATACAGTCAATCTACTTTACAGTATATTCTGAGAAGCGCTTTGAGACGTCTCGATGACGTGATAAGGCGCTATATCAAATACAAAGATTATTATTATTAATATTGTTATTTTCTCTTCATGGTTGTATCATTCTGTACTGACTTTGAACATTAAATGATCTTCATCATTAGAAGTTCTTTCCTGACCTGCCACATCCCCTTACCCAGCTGTAAGCAGTTACTATAGGCTCTCCGGGCTGGGATTGAACACTGCTTATTCTTCAGCTGTTTTACTTTCATTATTCTTACTTTATGAATCAGTGTCTGACATCTGCGGAAACCCATCAACGTGCTTAAGAGTATCCAAACCAAGTTGAGAATTCCATGCATCCCTCCTACACATGGAAATCCTAGAGATAAGATAGTTGGAATGGAATGCGCACTTCCCTTGGAGGGAAGCATCCTATTTACCCAACCAAGGCTTGGGGACCCAGAGTGTGTGTTGGGGTACTGCTGGAGTCTAACCAGCTAAAGCCGCATAGACATTGTCTGACCCCAGCCTACACTGATAGAAACTGCGCTGGCTACACAGTCTGCTATCTCTGTGATGTCATCTTGTAAAACGTACACTGCACAAGGTTGAAAATCAGAGTTTAACCTTCATTAGAGTCCTGTAGCTCAGTGGTTAGAGCACTCGCTTTGCAAGTGAGAGACCTGAGTTCAATTCCAGGCAGAGGGCGAAACCTTGAGCAAGTTTCCTTACTCCACACATTATTGTTTTGGGTTTTGGAGGGATTATTAATAATATTATTACTAATAATAATCCCTCCAAAACCAAAAACAATAATAAAAAATTGGTCATTTTCAATTTACGACTGTTTGTGGGACATTACTGTGCGCTATTGGCTGCCGCGTTCGCCCACAAATAAACAGTCAATTTACTTTACAGTGTGTTCTGTGAAGCGCTTTGGGACGTCCTCCCGACGTGAAAAGCGCTATATCAAATGCAAGGATTATTATTATTATTATTATTATTAAAAGCTGATGTGAGCAGAAGTCTGAATTGGATAATTTGATTCTCTTTCATTTCGAAAAGGT